TCTCGATCATCAAGCTGAGGATCAAGAGGTACGATTTTTGGTAACATCAATAAGAAAGACGTTGAGTATGACCTATTTCAAATTTAAGAAATAAGGTTTACTATTTCAAAAATTAGATATTAATTAAATTTTATTTATTAAATAATTAATTAAATATATTAAGGTCGTAATATTATATAGTTTATGGTTACAATTATATTATTCACAATCACAGACGTTACAGTCATAAATCACAAATTTTATAAGTCACAATTTATTTCTCGATCACAAATTAAATAAATTAATCGATCATATATTTTTTTTTATTACGAATCACAAATTTTATAAGTTACGACTTATTTCATGATCACAAAATATCAAATTAATTGAACACAAATTATCAAATTATTGATCACAACTTAACAAATTGTTAGGTCACACATTATTTATTAGTTACAAATTATCTATTTTATTTATCACATATTATTTATTATTTATTAGTTACAAATTATCTATTTTATTTATCTAATATTATTTATTGGTTATATATTAACCAATTTATTGGTAACAATCAACAAAATAATTTGTAACCACCACTACTTCACAACTGCCTCCAGCACCACTACCAACACAAACTCAACGACAACGACAACGACGACGACGACAACCAACACCAAATACCACCACAATGGCTACACCACCACTAGCAACACTATCACCTGCACCATCGTGACCATATCAACCACCAACTGCATCAACAATGCATGTACCAACCACGACCACCTCCACCATCTCCTCAATTCCACTATGCCCTCCACCTCTATCGCCATCTGCACCTACACCACCAACAACAAAGAAATACCCAAACAAGCCACTGCCACCCGTACCTCACCTCAATACACCACAATCGCCACCTGCATCTATACCTTAATACACCACAATCACCACCACCAACAGAAAAAAAAACCCAAACAAGCTACTGCCACCTGCACCTACACCTTAGTACACCACAACCGCCACCACCAACAACAAAGTTCTTAAACAAGCCACTGTCACCGTCACCTGCACCTACACCTCAATACACGGCAAATCCACTCAAAAACTTCCGCCGCCACAAAATCAAAAGAAGAGAGAAACAAAGTCAGTGACTGGAAGGCCTCTAATGAGCGACAAGAGGAAAATGTAGAAGAAAATTTGATCTGCCTCTAATTCGAACGCGAGAAGGACAACGAGTGGCGAACACTCAGCTATGACGACGCGCATCGTCGTTGGGCATTTGTGTTGCTTCGCATGCGACGACGTACTACTATCGTGAAAAGTAGAATTGTTGCCGTGCATTCCACCGCGACCATTGTCGTCGGTGGGATGGTGCCTCTGATGAGGTTGGTAAAGGCATATTGAGAGAGAATGAATGGAGAGAGATATATATTAATTTAAAATTTTATAATATAATTATTAATATTGAACTATTACCTGATTTTTGTATAAACAAACTTTAAATCTGATTTTTGAAATTGTAACTTTAAAAAACTGGTTCTATATAATTTCAACTTTTTAAAATTGGACCTGCAAATGTTTAAGAGTTGTGTAATTAACCGAAAAGAAAGGGAAAAATTCGTATTTGACTCATTACACCAAAATATTTCACCAAATACTACATCATTTTATATATATTTACTATATTGTGTAATATGTAAATTATAACTATATATACTTCTAAATTGAGATCCCAATTCATTTTTTGTAACTGAAATTTTGAATTATGCAAAAACTTTGCTTGCATTCAATTTCTCTATTCCAATCAAGAAGTAATTCATATTAAAGATGGGCAACATACACATTTTCATCGGATGCAAAACTCACCCACGAATTTCTCGTCTTCGTCAACTATCGACCATATTTCATCTTTTCAATCAACTTGGAGAGTAATCTCATCAATCAAAATTGAGAATTTGTAGGTTTTGGTATCTATTACATTTTTCATGAAACAGTGTATCATTACATATTTGGCTAATTTTGAATCATGCAATGCTACCACATCTCATTTTGTTAATTTTGAAACGAGATCTCAATAGAAGTAATGAAATATGGTTTATATGTTCAAGATGACTGATTGTATCACTATTTACTTTTGCTGGCATCTTGCTGGTAGAGGTTGAAACTTGCAATTAAGAGTGTAAATGATATAAAATAAAAACATTTTAATATCCGTTTCACTGTAAAGATGACAATCGCGAAAACATTCAAAGGGTAACATGTAGATACACAAATCCAGGATGAAATCATGAAGGTGTATTAGATTTAGCCCCTGCTTGTTGTAGATTAAAATCAGATTGTTAGTAAATTTTGATAAAAGTTGATGTAATGTGTGGTTGAAAAGTTGTGAGTCCCATGAAATGTGTGGTTAAAATTAATTGTTGACTTTGACTTGAAATTTAAATCAGATTTTAATTTGTACCAAACATGGGCTTACAATGTTTTCATATGGTGGAAAATAATATTACATTACGGTTTACGTTTTGGGGTGCAGGGTTGGGTACCAAAAAAATGAAGAAAAAAAAATAAAATACATCACAAAAAAATTTCAGCTTCCCTGATTGCTGAAAAATCCCGTAGTTACAAGTTAAACACAAGATATAGGGCAAACATGAATTATGCTCCTTGTACACTCCTCGTGTACATAGAGTTTGACACTCCTTTGCAAATTCAAAAATAGAGTGAAGGGAAAGTGTGTTTTATTTTCAAACTGGTCAATCGTGTTGCAACATGTGACACAATGTCAAACTTGATGTCAAAAACAATGTACTTGTAGCATGATTGGTGCGAACATAGACATAATCAGATTAGGCGTGTTTGGTGGAGTAAAAAGTGCTATTAGAATCAATATCTTTTGGTGTCAAGTAATATTTCACTTTCCAATTTTTACTTCATTATTACAGTAATTATTGAATAAAAAAAAGTTAAAAAGAGTAATTTATGAAATTTTATTAAATATTAGGTAGGTAGTGCAATTTCCACAAAAGGAAACTGTTCTAACTTATCCCACAGACTGGGCCTTGGAAAATTTTTTGAGCCCACTTACTGGCGGACCAGGCTTTTACCTCATTTACACAAAGTCCATTCTTTCTACATCGCCAATATAAATCAAAACCACATGAACTGAACCTGAACAAGAAAATCTCTGCCTTTAAAATTTCAAAATTTCTCAAAATCCCTGCACAAAAAAGCCATACATTTCCAGCATTTTAACATGGATAATTCAAAAGTTCAAGAGGTGTGCATAAAAATTTGTCGATATATGCATAAATTCTGTTTGATTTAGGTATGTAAAATTTGGTTTGTTTGTAATTACTGTAAAAATGCAGATATTGGAGAAGCAACTATTGACTGTGGCGAAGGCTGTGGAAGACAAGATAGATGAGGAGATCTCGGCTATAGATCGGCTAGATTCTGACGATATGGAGGCGTTGAGGGAGCGACGATTGCAACAGATGAAAAAAATGGCGGAGAAACGGAGAAGCTGGATCGCCCTTGGCCACGGCGAGTACTCAGAGATCCCAAACGAAAAAGAATTTTTCTCTGTTGTCAAAGCCAGTGAACGTGTTGTGTGCCATTTTTACCGTGAAAATTGGCCTTGCAAGGTAATTACATAGGCGTAATACATATATTTATTTACGTCTGAGTATGTGTGGTTTGTGTAGATTCGCATTTGTGATAATTAGTAAAAATGTCTAGTTTTAAGCTTATGAACTATTGGTTGGTTATATTAGCCGTTTGTTCTCACTTCTGATTAATATGGTGGCTGTCGATTTTAGTGCAATGGATTCTTTAATCAGGTGGAGTTTGCATAGAGACTGTGTTATATTAAAGTTTATGCATAGTAAATAAGATTAGGCTCTATTGTTATTAAAGATTTTTATAATTAGGAATATTTTCTGTAGGGATAGAACAACACCATAGTAAGGTGATCCCTTGATAGTGTCCAATGAAGTTTCTGTTATTTCTTTCGCATTCTGATTTTAGGAAAAAAACTTCAATTTAGATTTGAGATTAGCTCTTGGCTGCTGAGATCATTTTCCCTATAAAACTTTTTCCTGATTGTGTGAAGGGTGGCAGTATGATCCATTGCTAAAGAGAGCAATTTCAATAAATACTTCTTGATGTAGTCGTGGTGAGATTTTTAGATGTATGATTCCTTGTGAAGATCATAAGAGCATTTGTCTTACGGCTTTTGTGCATATATAGGCCAATATCAAGTGTGAGGGGGAAAAAAGTGCTTCTTCTCATTGATCTGGAAGACAGTCTAGAAGTAGAGTTGAAGGCTGTATATTAGTTTCTAAGATGTTTGACAGTTTGACAGTCAGGTTAATAGGAACTGAAGAATGGAAATAAAGTTACAGAAGAGCTAAAAACTCTTACTTCATGATTCATGTTGCAGCACCCTTGTGAATTTCATTTGATATACGTTCAGCTTAATTGTTTGAGTTGGCATTTTCATTTCCTTCTATTTTTCCATCAATGTTTATTGATGCACAAATCCTACTTAGTTGTTCGGTAGCTAGGTCTTCAAGCAACTGTTTAAATCTCCTTTCTTATCGAGGTTTCTGATTTCAGAAAGACTTGATCTAAAACAAATTTGTCTGTTATCAATGTTGTGGTAACAATAAACATGAACAGTTTTTATTTTGTTCCTTCAAACCAAGCACTACATAGAAACTGAATGCTTTGCCTGTAAATTACCGGGAAACTGAAATTTACCCCAATTTCTTGGTAGAAGGTAATTCTGAGAAAGAAATAAATCAACATAGCTCGATTGCAGGTCATGGACAAGCATCTGAGTATATTGGCAAAGCAACATATTGAGACGCGCTTTGTCAAAATCAATGCTGAGAAAAGTCTTTACTTGGCTGAGAAGCTCAAAATTGTCGTTCTTCCTACTCTTGCCCTCATTAAAAATGCTAAAGTGGACGATTATGTGGTAAGTTGTGTGCAAATGGTTAACTAAGTTATCTCTTGAATAAAGATTTTACCTTGTGAAGCTTTATCATTGCTGAGACCGTGCTAATGCAAATTAGGTTGGATTCGACGAGCTTGGTGGAAAAGATGATTTCAGCACTGAGGAACTCGAGGAGAGGTTAGCAAAATCCCAGGTTATTGTTTACGAGGGTGAATCATCACTCAATGCATCCAAGTCTAAAGGCAAAACCAAGAGCGTCCGTCAAAGCTCATATTCATCAGACTCTGAATAGATGTAGAGGGTGATCTGTTGTAATGTTACTTGAGTAATGTGGTGGAAGTATTTGCCAACATTTTCTACGAGATATATTTAAATATTATATAGAATCTAGCAAGCACCTGTCTGGTTTCATTTTCACATCCTTTCTCCAACCTCATCGAGTACACTTGCACATACTGAGCAAAAATTGAAAGAGAAAAAGGAACATACATCGAAAGTATGAACTTTCTACCTCCATCTATTTAGGCTAACAAAACACTGCAAAATTGAGAGTCCATGTATTTGTGCTCAAATCGTTAACTAACACGTCCAACACAACTATACAGCCATACAAAATGTAAGCCAAGCACGATTTCCTGGAATTTATTCACTCAAAAACATAGTTCTTGTGTTCGATAACAGAAAAATATGTATATACACGTAACTGAGTACGATTACAGCAGTTGTCAGCGAACTTGTTCATTCTTCAAAAGTACCATTCTCTTCAACACAAGGTAAAGACAGAAGTTCCATAAGCTCCAACCGATACTCTAGGCCTCTAAGGTAGTGTCCCAGCAACATGCACCTTCATCAAATAAGATGCAAAATGTGAATCCCAGAACATGGAAGCAACGATAATTTTGTTTGCATACTAGCAAAGTGCTAAAAGAATGCAGTAGAGAGCTTTAATTCCAGATCTCCTTGGCCCCAGGTTGGTTATGAATAAAAATCTGCAGATATAAAACCCAGATAACGTCTAAAGGAGAAAAAAGTAGTGATTCTCCAATGCGCACTTAATATCCAGGAACCTATATGCACATGATTTTGAAACTCCCAATTTCAGTACACTGCAAAATCTCAGTTTTAGGGTATTATTTCCTGGAAAAAAAAGGAAGTTCACTATATTGTCTACAAACAGAAATGAATTTCATTATCCTGGCCCAAAGTTGACCACAATGATGCAGTTTATAAGCCCATTCCTTGTGAAAACAAGGAACGTGTAAAACCTAGCCGATGATTCTAACATACAGAAATAGGTAAAATATGGCTAGGGATTCTAATGTCTCCTAATCCACACGAATATGGCCCTCTTAAACAGAAGGTGTTCAAAATTTGGAGCCAAAGAATCCACCATTATTAGATTTCATGATCCTTGCTGTTTGTTCAATAGAAGGGGGATAACCTAACATTTCTACATATTAGGAAAAATAATAATAATAAATGAACCACGCAATCGCCACAAAAAGAAAGAAAAACAGAACATTCATTTTTATGACTTGAGCAAGTTAGTACGGAATGGATGAATATTTTATATCTAGACAAGCATACTCTGGACAAAGTAAGTAAATAGAGAGGAAATATCATCTAACCAAAACAGTAGGCGTGCCAGATAATCACGCGTCAAAGAAATAAGGGGTTGGAATTGAAGGGAATTGTTTTCAACAAGATCGATGCAATCTTCTTCTGTTTCAATAATTATGGTTCCTATAGCTGGATTGTCAGAGAGATCAGGTGCTTTTGAATGCATTTTAGGAGAAAGGGTAGCCAAGAGACCATGTACTACTGAATGTATCGTATCCTTCAACTGAGGAGATGACGGTTCTGAAAGCTCCACTACCTGTTCAATAGAAGTAGCAGTATCCATCACAAGAATGAAGAAAACAAAGGATGGACAGTAAAACGGAGTTGATAGAAGTACTACCACTTAAAAGATAGCTGTCCTCCCTAACAGGAAAAAAACATAAAAATAAAAAATTATGAAATATAAGAATGCCTCATGTATAACACCCCGAAAAGTCCTAATAGTCATTAATCTTGAATTTGGGACCTTAGTGTAAGATGTTGAAAGTTAGGGGACCAAATTGATGACAGTTCATAGTTGAAGGACTCAATGTGCACTTTTTTTGAAATTTCAAATATTGGTAAAGAAATGATCATGGAATTGTCATGTTTAGTCAAGGAAAAGATTATGGGATTGCCGTATCTAGATTATAGTTTCATTGAATTAAAGATGAAACTAATTTACACTAACGTAGATTTTGTATAAATTTTGCATGTCAATTAACCTAATTAATTGGCTAATTATTATAATTAGAGAAACTTTCATCTATTAAAAATTAGAAACATTATTTATGCACTTGTAATTAGCAATCTCACATTTTTATATGGTATGATGGAATATTTAATTTGGCATAATTAAATCAAATGTTTTAATTATATGGCAATGTTTTATTAGTAGCAATTATATATATATTAGTATATTAGTTGAGTGATTGATTACATTTTATATGGAAAAACGCATAGCATTAATAAATAAATGAATGCTAGTACCAAATTTAAGTAAAGAGGTCAAACCTTAGAAACCCTTATTTTTACCCCCCTCACATCACTTACATTCACACACAACTTATGTTGTGTTTTATCTCTCTCTTCCTCTGAACTCATCTTCTATATAAATATTTTCACATTACAAAGTTAGCACGCACGATGTATAAGAAATTTTGGAGTGAAAGTCTAACAAGATAATTTCCTCGATTTACTTTAATCTTCTTCCATACAACTGTAAGTGTAGTAGTACGGATTGATCTTTCATTATTTAAATTACAGAAATTTATGTTACGAATATGATACGGAAATCCAAGTTATGATTATGATAAGGGTTATATATGTGTAAGTTCAAAGGACCGGAGTTTAGTAGCGTTACGCACAGGAATTATAGTCACGAAGTTCAGATTCTAATTCTCCTTGTCTCCATATGTATGTTATGATTTTCCGTATTTAAATATAAGATGAAATTCGTTATTACTCATCTATTAAGATTTATGTCTCACGTGTATATGTTAAACCTTTTATAGGTAACTAAAAATGTGGGTTCGAGGCGATCGGGGGTGGATTGTGCTTGCATGGGTGAAAAATAAAGAATAAATTATGTAGTTAAGGATTTTAATAATGTTCATTGTATTTCTTTTAAAAATTTTAAATTCTCCCATGTTAAGAAAATATTATCCCTCCTTTTATTTTATTAAGAAAGTACTCTTTTACGGTACATGAATAATGATTCCAAAGGTAAAATTTGGGTTGTTACATCGTGAGTAGGACGAAATGCAGAACATCCCAAAAGGCGTGCAGATTATACTCTTGAAAGTAAAAACTATAACTTGAAATTACATATTTGAGTGATAGATATCCCCGGTTTAATACGTGACACTTTTTCACCTCCCTTTTGCAAGATGCTATATTCAATGTGATGTAAGACAATCTTATTATAAATATGATAGAAGTTAGTTATTATTAGAGTACGATTGTTGTTTCCTTTGAAATTAGGATTTTATTTCCTTTAGGATTTTAGTTCTCTCTTTAGTAACATTGTTTAGTTTCCTTATATTGGTAAGACTTTTCAATCATATATTCATTATAATAAAATTATTCTCTTCAAATTTTCAAGTTCTTCACATTGTTTCAAGAATTTTAATTCTCCTTCCGCACTACAATGCAATTAATCCTAGTTATGCAAGGAAGTGAGGACAACTTCACGAGCACTCCTTAGCAGATTTTTATGTAGGGAAGTTAGAAATAACAGTTTGCTCTACACCAAAGATAAACTAGACAAAATCCTGAACATGTAAACTTGCAGCAGTATTGTGATATTCACAATTTCCCATCCCAAAATGGACCCTCATGAAGGAAAAAGGAAAGTTTAATCAGCAAGTCAGCAACAATTAGAGAAAATGTAATCTCCATTCAATTGGAGAGGTTTTTCAGACACTGAAAATGAAATCTAGCACAGAAAACACATTTTCTGTAAAATATTGCTCGCATTGCAAACTGAAATTATTACAGCTACAGTCGCTTTCATTTGATCATCAGTGCACTAGTTTATAATATCATCCATAAAGATCACTCTCCTTACATGATCACTAGCACTTCCACATATATACATACCTTTTCTGGTTGCAAAGATCTTAAATAATCTAACAAGTCATTCTTTTCTTCCCCCACAAACTGTTGCATCTGAAGAGCCGCACTTTTCCGCTTAAGTTCATGGAGCTCCTTACTTAGCCAGAATTAATAAACAACATTAGAATGTCATGTAACATTTGTCTAAATAGGAGAGAGAAATATTTGAAAATCAACAAGTGAAAACAAAACCCTCTATGAGCAGCAGAGTATACACATGCAAAACAATAAAAAGGAAAGGGACTCAAAAGAGAAACCAACTACCACTAATACAATGAGATCAACCAAAAGAACCAATCCACAATTTATTTTCTCTGTCAACTCATACGATAATCTACCACCTAAATTATGGTATTATCATGATACTCCACGCAACAATCAACTTCTGATGCAGGAACCAGGGTGCAAAAGGTGATAAACACCCAGTTTATGGATCAGCTTCCATATTTCAGCCTCTGACAAATTGAATACTGGTAATTGGTTTTAGTTCTCTTATTTTCAATGTAGATCAAAAGAGTAGTCTATTGGCCCCAGGTCCAAATTCATACTATCTCTTGGAAAAATAGTCATTTAGTAGACACTCTAGAACACGTGATATTTGTTTACTCCCATACCACATTTGAATATTAAATGACCACTTTTAGATAAGGTGGTTAATTAAAAAAAATGTTGACAACGCAATAAAAACCCAAAACTAATGTTGGAAAAAAAAATTAATATATAGATGAATAAGAAACCCAAGATACCAAAGTACATAAGTGCAAAGTAAACCTTTCTGACAGAAGATAAACTAGATTGCAATCTCCATATATATTCTTGAGCTTCAAGAGAAATGTCCCCGAGATCAGGAATCTGGGATGTAACTTCACTGGTAGTCTCTGATAGTGGCAAGTTGTCTTGTCTAAAGATCTTGCTCACTCCATCTTCATTGAGCAACAAACCTTCACCTTCAAGTTTAGAATCTTCAGCTTTTTGTTTATCAATATGTCCTTCATGGATTTCAAATTTTTTCTCAAGGCAAAGCCTAAATTCAGCATTGACCGTTGCAAGGTTAATAAACCTATATATCTTCCACCACAATGAGTAAAAATAAAAGCACATTAGTGTACTCTAGCCTAGTACTACAGCAAAAGATATACATACTATACCCTAGCTGAGAGNAGAGAGAATGTTACTTGAAGTAACTCAGCCTCCATTTGGATCATTTTTAAATGATTTATCATTGGTCAAACTTCATTTTCAACCACACATTTCAATGAACCCACCACTTTTTAACCGCACATACCATTTATATCATTTATCATTTATCCAAATGGAGGCTCGGTAGTAAACGTAGCAACTTGAGGGTTATAATAACGATTAAGCTAACAACTCAGGATAACAAATAAAGTTTCTCTAACATAGGACTCTTGCATATGTATGAGATACTGCTAAAACCATTTATAAATGATCTTCTTGTCTAAGAGTACTTCAAATGTTAAAGAATCTAGAAACCACAGACAAGAAGGTTCTCTTAAATAATTATTCAATTTGTTTGATATTCACATCCAATTTAACAGTTTCAAAAAGACCGTTGCAAGGTTAATAAACCTATATATCTTCCACCACAATGAATAAAAATAAAAGCACATTAGTACTCTAGCCTAGAACTACAGCAAAAGATATACATACTATACCCTAGCTGAGAGCTTATTCAGACTCAAGCATGGGAGCCTCCGCCAGAAGCAAGCTCTATCCTCAGCTTATATGACCATACAAATTTACATCATGATTTGAGAAAATAATGAAGGCTCGTGGCATTAAGAATCCAAAATATCCCACCCAAGGGTTCCAAAAGACTATGCTGAAACTCAGAACAATCTATCGAATTACTTCTAAGCTCAATATATGAATTTTAAAGTCTTACAACACCCAATTAACTCGTTCTTAAGTTTGTCTTACAATCTCCATTGCAAATACTTTTGAGCGTCTTAAGCACATAAACCCGCATCAGTGGATAAATTAGTGTTAAGTCAGTAAGTTAAAGACAAGGTAGCTTCCTGAACAAAAAAATCTGAGAGACTGAGGCTCCGATTCACGAGATTATACAATCTATACTGTAAGTTATGCATTTCTAGTGTATTTGTATGAATGAAATGCACATGGAAACAAACCTATTGCTTTTGAGCGTGTATTCACACATTTGGAATAAAACGACAACAGCAGAGGATAAAGATAATTATTGTATTAGACTAAATTGCTAGAACTCACTTGCCACATACTTACTTTTCTTCATTAAGATTCTCTTTACAATTATTTATTTTTTTCGTGCCCAACAAAATTGTGTAGTATGTGTCCCAAAAAGTGAACCTACCCGGTCATCATTGAAGAAATCAACAGCTTGGAAAGTGGTTCCCATAACGCTTCAATCATCACCCGAAATTGGTCAGATGGAAGCAAGCCCAACATTCCTGAAATGGTCCTTTTCATAGCATCTATTGTCGTAGGTGGAACGTCTTTCAGAATAAGGCTCACATCCAAAGGCTCTATCTCTTGTATCAAATTTGAGAGAACTGATTTCTGGAAAATATAACATTTTGTCAAGGTATTAATATTGTATGTATCAGTTCCTGACAGACCTACTACCTCTTTGTTTTCTCTTTCTATCAATATTATTCGAAAAATTTTAATCCCACCTTGCTCTCAATCATTTGCAACAAATCAAATATGTTAGTCATTCTATTTTCTGTGTAGCTTGCATTTGCCCCAGGAAAGCCTATTAGCACTAGCTACTCGCATTTGAAATTTCATTTCGGACATTTTATTAAACCAAGATGAGTTGATTTTCTGTTGACAAGCAAAGAATTTTCTCTGTGTTCATTCTCTGGTCTAGTTCCTAAGCAAAGTTAACTATTTTAATAATTCCCCAGTCCAGCAAGATTTTAAAAAAAAAAGATTAAATCAAAACTACCAAATTTAATAAGCAGAAAATAAAATTCAAACATAAAACACCAACCTTCGACTGAGAATTTCCATCTCGAGAATTAAATTCCCAGCCGGAAGAAGAAGCTGAGGAAGCTAAAACTAGGGATCTTAAACTTCGAGATTTGATCAAATACGCAGTGGGATAAATAACAGAAAAAGGGCGAGCAGGTGAAATCCGGCAACGAGTTCGTCTAGTAGGAAGAGGAAGAGAAGAACGTGAGAGAACGGCGGCGAAGGTTGCCATTAACAACCACCACTTCTCCTCTCTCCTCCCCCTCTTTCCCGATGGGCCCTGACAGCCACAATATATGTGAATATATTTGGGGAAATTATAAAATCAGGGTTTAAAGTGAGTTAATTAAACCATCAATCACCTACATTTGGCTTCGGTTACTACTTGCTCACCCAGAAATAAATGGTTACCGAATGCTCACTCACTTTTGGAAAAAATTACCCATCCATCACCCGTTTAACTTCCATCCATCCAACTCTCTACGTGGCCAACGGAAATATTACGTGGCAGCTAACACCGTTAACAATTGAATACGTGGCCATTAATTTAAATCTTATTTCTTTTCCAAATCGATTTCTTCTCCCCC